GAATATTTTGTGAGCCTTTTGTTTCTCATTAAATATAAAATAGAGTCTTGAAAGTATTTTCAATATATTTCTCCTCTTCGTGTAAATATTAAGGGCTGCATATTCTGCGTGCTCTGAAAAAAAACACAATGTTCATTCTGGATTTTACTTTGTTTAGTTTACCTACAAGATCCAATAAGTTAGTATCACGGGGAGATATTAATAGAGCGTATCATTAATATATCAGAAGTAAGCTGATTGTTTAGGTAAAATGTTTTGAAAAGAACCAAACTCGAGTAATTTCAAGAAAAATTTGAAATACCAGCGTCTCTCGTTTCGTGCGCATGGGTAGACGTGCCAACATCAACAAATCCTAGTCCGATGAAATCCTAACGGATGAAACTCATTACAAAATCTTTTTTCCAATTTGTTTGACTATTTTTCCATAAATATGTGTGTGTGTGCGTGTGTGCGGGTGTGGTTGTCAGTATGCGTGTATATATCTATGTGTATCTGTATTTGTATGTTTTTCATTGTCTATACATATATTATATATATATATATATATATATATATATATATATATATATATATATATATATATATGTCTGTCTATGTACACCTGCCGTCCTGGGTAAGACGTTAAACTACGTCAAGCAGCAAGGTCTCTGATCAGGAGGTTTTGAGGAGCGTGGAACCACCTCTTAATTGCTGGTGTTCCCAGGTTCACCCTGACCCGAGGTGGTAGCAACTGTTAGGGTCCCAGTTATGGGCAAATAGTTAGGCATTACCAGCAATACGTTTTTGAAAAAAATTATTACTAGCAATACAATTTTGAAGGAAATATATTACTAGCAGATTTTTTGAAAAAAACAAAAATACAATTAATTTTTTTGAAGGAAATATATTACCAGAAACAAAATAAACCAAAAAAACAAAGAAAATATTCTATTCATACGAAGCAATTAATTTTTTTGTCAGCATTAAATAACACATTGAGGTTGATATGCCGTAAAACAAAATAAACCAAACCAATCTTAGCCAAAGAATACATATTCTATTCATACGAATCTATCCTAAAAATGTTGTCGGCATTAAATAACCCATTGAAGTTGATATGCCATAAAACAAAATAAACCAAACTAATCTAAACCAAAGAATACATACTCTATTCATACGAATCTATCCTAAAAATTTTGTCGGCATTAAATAACCCATTGAGGTTGATATGCCGTAAAACAAAATAAACCAAACTAATCTAAACCAAAGAATGCATACTCTATTCATACGAATCTATCCTAAAAATGTTGTCGGCATTAAATAACCCATTGAGGTTGCAATGCCGTAAAACAAAATAAACGAAACCAAATTTATGTACACCTGCGGTGCGGTAGATGTTAGCATGCAGACCACGCAGGCCGTTATTGAATTAGTGGTTTTCATCTTCTGTGATTGGGCCATACTTGTGGCTTTCTTGTACGAGACGCTCTAATAAATATAAAATTAAATAAATTTAAAAGCAAATTAATTGTATTCAACGAATTATTTGCCGTTCTCTTTCATTAAACCGTTCGGCACATGACGTCATTCGCATTTGACGTACGTACATTTCAATGAAGATTATATAATTTTTCTGAACCATTTTGGTATAAAATTAATTACAATGTTTCTCTCTTCGAACCAACAACCACACAGGCAACTGATCTTGAATAACGATAATCAAATGTCGGACAAAGATATTATGAACCGTGGACATTTGTTTTTTTTATAAATTTGATCTGGGATGCGAGAGTCAATTGAGAAACTGTCATAAACAGTTAAGAGATAGACATTGTGGGACGATTTCAAAAATATATTTTAATGAATTCCTGCTGCCTATGTATAACACATTTTTATTTATTTATTAAAGAGTATAGTTATTGATTTACATGTACCGGCCTGAATATTCGAGAAATCTTGATAAAAAATATACGCCCTCTGGCAGGACTCGAACCTGCGTCCCTTAGGAGAAACTGTCATTAGATTTGATGTGTCACGGAGGACCTCCTGATTAATATCAGTGTTCCTCTGCTGTGTCATGGCACGTGGAATTAGAACAATCTATGCCTGTGGACTAAATAAAGTGTTTGATTCCAACAGATATCACTTAAATCAGGCCGTAGTGTATATTAATGTGCAAATATATATTAGCGATAGTAAAGAATAAAGCGTTAGGATTATAGAGCTGAAGTAGACTATAAAGGAAACAGGAAACCTAATCCTAATCTCGAGATAAACCTCAATTCCTGATCAAAGGGCAGTGAGGAGTTGGAATATATACAGGATTAATACAAATGTAAAATGTTTCATTGAGCTGACTGATGTTATGTTCAACACTCCGACTCCAGAGTTTCGTAGACAAAACTTTCAGCATTCATTTGTGCTATGGGACCTTACCCATAATAACATAATGGACTATTCCATACGTAATAAATACCGCGCCGCAAGAGGAAGCAGGGAGTTCAGTCTGAAGTCTGGAGTGAAGTCCGTTAGGAGTTAGTCAGTCGAGTCAGAGGCAGTCCGAAACAGAGTCGCGTTCAGACAATTACTACAAGACATTGGAATAGTGATACTGGTCGAGACTACATAAACCTGTTGTTCGTACTAACACTTTCTACTTCTCTGTATATATTCCTGTTTGTAATATATCTGTGTTATTCCATATCCGTGTTCGAGTTCTTCTTTATTGGTTCTACCTTGGACTATCACCCGTGGTACAGGGACCTTGGACTATCACCCGTGGTACAAGGGCCTTGGACTATCACCGTGGTACAAGGACCTTGGACTATCACCCGTGGTACAAGGACCTTGGACTATCACCCGTGGTACAAGGACCTTTGGACTATCACCCGTGGTACAAGGACCTTGGACTATCACCCGTAGTACAAGGACCTTGGACTATCACCCGTGGTACAAGGACCTTTGGACTATCACCCGTGATACAAGGACCTTGGACTATCACCCGTGGTACAAGGACCTTGGACTATCACCGTGGTACAAGGACCTTTGGACTATCACCCGTAGTACAAGGACCTTTGGACTATCACCCGTGGTACAAGGACCTTGGACTATCACCCGTGGTACAAGGACCTTTGGACCATAACAATTTGGTTCACTCATTAGGATGTATCAGCAATTGTCTGCCGATTTCATTTCCTCGTTTTCGTTATTTTTATATTAAGGCAAAAAATAACTTATGCGCATTTTATTGGTGTTAAGATGATTTCTTCTTCTTCTTCTTCTTCTTCTTCTTCTTCTTCCTTTTCTTCTTGCTCTTCTTCTTCTTCCTCCTCTTCTTCTTCTACTTCTTCTTCTTCCTCTTCTTGTTTTTCTTCTTCTTCTTCCTCTTCTTTTTTCTTCTTCTTCTTCTTCTTCTTTTTCTTCTTCCTCTTCTTCTTCTTGTGTGTGCGTATGCGCCCGTTTGTTATATGTGTGAGACAACGCGCTCCCCCGTGTATTTGTGCTTATGTATGTCTATGCCTGTACGTGTGTGCATGTGCACATGTCTAGAATGGCATGGTTCTTTCTTCTTTTCATTATTGTCTCTCTCACTATTCATTTTCCTTCTTTCTTTTTCTATCTTTCGGCTCTGAGTATCACACACACACACACACACACACACACACACACACACACACACACACACACATATATATATATATATATATATATATATATATATATATATATATATATATTAATATTACTTCAGTAGACACTATTATTTAAACACTTTATACTTAATAAATTGATAATTTATATGTCTATTACCAAATGAAATGGGCGGGAGCTGCCCAGACGTCACTTTCAAAAGCATCTCCAAGTCCTTGTTAGATAAGAATTATTTTCCACCCTCCAACCTCTATCTCACAGGCGGGATGTGGCAAGTCTCTCACTTCTCTATCGCTTATTCCATGGAAACTGCTCCGAAAAACACTAGTCTTTGATTCTAGCATGTCTAACCTTCACATCTAGGACCCGCCATGCCACTTACTTATTATCAAACCATCCTTATTTATTCCGTATTCCATCGGCAAAAAGTAAGTTCCACTCGAACAGCTTCTTGATGCGGACCACTTCCCTACGAAACAGACTCCCAAGAGCATCACTAGATTCTTAACCTACTCAAGTCTAACCGTTATCTTCCCCTTCTATCCGTATAAACTACCCCTTAACGTTATCCTCTACCTCGAGTGGCTACCCGGGTCCTATACAGGTTAAACTTTACTGTAAAAAAAAAAAAACTGTACACATTTTGTTATCCATGAGCTCGATTTGAAAACAACTTGGTTTTCATTTCAAAGTCTTGTAACTTAATGTCAGAAAACATAAAACTTGTGAATTCTGTTTTGAAATGGTAAATCATGTTATCTCATAATTCATGAATAAGAGGGAAAAGAAACCACGGTGACTTGTTTAGATCAAGCTTCGCTAGCAAAGATTTATTGTGTGATGCGTTAGGGAATTGAAAATATCCTTGTTGCAACGCGTCAGATGGGGTGGTGAGTGTCTAAATGAGCCTAACAAAAGCTATGTGCTATCTTCAACACATGCCTCAAAACATTTCTTATAATAGTCAGTATTTCACTGATCAATCATTGAGCAATTGAGATGACAGACAGGCCGTTAGAGTTTTGAATCACTATCATCAGTTCTGATAATGTTTCATGTACTCATCTTTCAAGAAACAGACATTGACAAGCCATAAATGTTGGTTGAACCGCCTTCAGAACACAATGAAATATGACAGATATTTATAGAAAACATCCCGAAAACTCTACACAAAATTTACTCCATACGAGTGTTGATAATTGTAATCTGATCTGATATTCTAAAAGAAAAGCTAACAGATCTGATAAATCTAGAAACTGAAAGAATAAAATCTTTCAAAACTGCTCAGAAGTTCGGTAAATTTTATTTTACTTAAAAGATAAAAAGATAATTTTAATCCGATTTTATTCTTTATTACTGCCAACGTTATTTTATTGAATAATAGAGATTGAGAGAGAGAGAGTGAGAGAGATAGTGAGTGAGAAAGAGAGTGAGTGAGAGAGAGAGAGAGTGAGAGAGAGAGTGAGAGAGAGACAGAGTGAGACAGAGATCGAGAAAGAGAGAATGAGAAAGAGAGTGAGAGAGTGAGAGAGAGTGAGAGAGAGAAAGTGAGAGAGAGAGAGTGAGTGAGAGAGAGAGAGACTGAGAGACTGAGAGAGAGATTGAGAGTCAGAGTGAGAGAGAGAGTGAGAGAGAGAGAGTGAGACAGAGTGAGAGAGAGTGAAACAGAGAGTGAGAAAGAGAGAGTGAGACAGAGAGTGATAGTGAGTGAGACAGAGAGTGAGAGAGAGTGAAACAGAGAGTGAGAAAGAGAGAGTCAGACAGAGAGTGATAGTAAGTGAGACAGAGAGTGAGAGAGAGTGAGAGAGAGTGAGAGAGAGGAGGGATCCCTGTTGTAACGATGTTTTGTGATTTCGTGCTAAGACAACCATCGACGGCCACAGAAGAGTCCCGTCTACCCTACCCTCACAACGCTTGGCTCCAAACATTGTATGATTTGACCTAAGCGTTAACCCTTCTGTCTACCCCAAAGCGAACAGTTTCCTCCACCCAACTTCCCCAGGCCGACATCATCAAGAATATAGCTTCCTGACAAATCGACCCCAACAATGATCCGAACCGGGTATCATGGTCGGAAAGCAAACGTTTTAGCCATTCGACCACGCGCCGAGAGATAGATAGATAGATAGATAGATAGATAGATAGATAGATAGATAGATGTAAATGATATATATGAACAGACGGCGATAGACAGATAGATAATTAACAGACTGAGATAGATAGATAGATAGATAGATAGATAGATAGATAGATAGATAGATAGATAGATAGATACGAACAGACTGGGATAGATAGATACGAACAGACTAGGATAGATAGATAGATAGATAGATAGATAGATAGATAGATCGATCGATCGATCGATCTGAAGAGAGTAAGGTCAGTAGTTATAGATCGATATTTAGATTGTCTGATCGATGAATATCCGCGTGACAAGGCAACATTTATTTGTTTTGCGCAATTCTTTATAGAAGCGGGACATTTTCTGCGACTTTAATCAAATCAAGCGACCGCTGTAAATATGAATGAAACCTATACGGTTCCTTTTTTTAAAATTGGTTTCGTTTCCGATAAGGAGAGCCGTGTTCCCATTCCTGTCGGCTTCGTTATATTCACTTACTCTTACCCTTAAGAAAGGCATGAATCCACCTCTTCTCTCCCCAGCTGTAGGTTAATTAATAAAACTTCTGTCTATATCTCTGAGATGAAGTATTATGATTATTTACATTATTTACATTATTCAAACTGTTATTCTCATCTTCATTGCCATATTCACAACGTTTCGACTCTTATACGATCCGGCTTGGAATTTCAAACCGAACCCTTTATTTTGTCCCCCGGTTTAGATTGTTCTAGAAATTCATACACAGATTCCCTCAAGGACACATGGCCCAGTGGATAAAGACTTTAGGTAGATCCAGTGACTATACTCAAAGAGTTGTGAGTTCAATATCAGGCAATAGCAATGGTGAACCAAAACTTGAAGATTGAGTTAAAAGGGAAATAACTGAGACATCCGAAAGAGGCATGGCACGTGGAACTAGAAGAATCTACCCCGGTGGACGAAATAAACGGTTCGGTTCGAAAATCCAATCACCTGATGAAGGCCGGAACGTAGAACGGCCGAAACGTTGGGAATATGGCACTGAAGATGAGGATAACAGTTCGAATAATGTCAATAATGTTAGTAAAACTTGTATCACTAAATCATTATTATCTCCCCTAAAAAATTCTTAAAGCCTAAAAATCTTTTCTGGCTTTAAATAACCTGCAAAGGGTTGATAAGCCGTAGAAAACGAATCAATCAACAATGAAAAATATTTTCGACACGTTGAATCAAACTCACTTCTGTAACTCAACTGGAATAAAACATTTGCATATTTCTTAAGTTTTTTTTTTTCTTTTCAGTTATTAAAATTAATAATATTTCAATTATAAGCAACTTTATAAAATTGTATGTGGTCATGAATGATTTCCGTTTTTATCAAATTTATCATTAAAAAGAATAATATACAATTGAAACTCATTCAATTAAATATTCACTGTTAATTGCACGGTAGAGTGAGGAATCGGAGAGCCGAGTTCGAATTCCAGTCGAATCCATTACATTCACTTACTTACTATTATTCTTGGGAAAGGTATGAATCCTCTTCTTCTCCGCACCAGCTATGGGTAAATAACAAGACAGACCGGGTTCTATAGCCTTGGATGGCAACCGGTTTACCGCAGAAACAAAAGGCAACCTACTGCTGGAAAAAATCTGCCTCGTCAGTCATGTATCGAAAGATAGATGATCGCCTAAGTGTGTATCACACATGGCACATAACTAACTGACTGATTAATTATAATGATAAGCTTTCAGGAAAAGTCCACAGATTTTGATGTGAAAAAGTTTACGAACTTTTGAATATTATTTTCATTAGAAAAAAAAATCTCTATCAAAGCGATTAGCAGCGATCGAAAATTATAATGCGTTATATATTCATGTATAACCCTACTGCATGTAGAGTGTGACCACAGCATTTTTTGTGAAAACCTGATATAGCTCACGTATAAAGCATTTCCAGCTTCGGAGCAATACTAGTGGGCCTACTGTAGTCAAATACTGCAATACTGGGCATCATCCTGAATATTTTCAAACAGAAGAAAAGAATTTAGGCGACGTAGGGTAAACTAAAGGACCCTACCCTTACCCAAGTTAAGGTTAGCCAAAGCTACTACGAGAATATAGGCCTGTCAGTTAGGTTACGGTCACTGAAAATGAATGAATTTTAACGCCCCCAGAAAAAAAAATTTACATGTGTATAGTGCAAGCGGTCACTGAAAATGCATGATTTTTAACCTCTTGAAAAAAATTACCTATGTATAATGCGACCCACTATATTAAAACCTAATCATAGAAACTCGTGAGTATATACGCTAATTGGTTAGGGCACCTTGAGGTGGTGTAGTGGTTAACAAGCTTGTCTCGCTAGAACAATTACGACTGAGTAGTGAGTTCGATCCTCACAGGGTGCCCCATACTTTCGGCTTTGTGCCACATCTGAGGTACGCTTGGAAAATCACTATACGGTAATTGGTTAGTGCCAGAACAGTTGAATATAGTGGGTTGAGTAGAACAAACCAAGCAAGTTCTAATGTTTATCTCCTGTTATTCTTGCTCTATGTTATGTTGTCATAAAAGAAAACCCCATTTATGCTTTACCATGAACACTGCCGCGATAAAAAAAAGACTAACGTATGTTAATCTACTCCAAATTTATAACAGCGACTGGTCTTGAGAAACTTATCTTCCTGAGATTTTATAAATTTCAACCATTATCAGTCAATGATTGCCGAATGTTTTCTCATAAGAAAACAGCTAATATTACCAGTACCATTTTAGATATTATAATTATGTAGTCAGATTAAAAAAAAAACTTTAAACTTATTGTAGGCTTCATAATTCAAGATGCTGTTTTTCCACTATTTCTTAATAAGAATGATAATCAAATTGTGCATTAAAGAAGTCCATTTGTCATACATCGATTTGAATTCCATCTGTTTTTGATCCATTCAAACAAGTCGGCCGGATGTGAAGGCTAAAAATGCATAAGCCAAAATAAAAAAGTTGTCCTCTGAGCATATTCTCCGAGCATCACATCCGACCCACTAAACAAATCTCCTCAAAAAATAAAATAAGAACACAAAATCATCCAATCACGATAAGGAAATTGAACACAGAATAGGCTGTGATAGAGGTAGTTTTGCCTAATGCCACTAGTTGCTACACAATCAAAACATTGACCTAAAAACTTAAGTCATGTTGTTAAAGAGCTTCATCAGATTGAGACTTTCACCTAACATCAGACTCATTCAGAAAATATCTAATTTGTTAACTCTGTGATTAAAAATAGGTTTGAATAAATGAAGCCTTTAGATCTTCTTCGAACCTCATCAACAAGAGCTACACAATCACAAAGAACTGTATCAAATGATAAAAGCATAACTTAAGGACTTTCAACAGCAGCAACAACTAAAATGGATAGCACATGTAATTCAAAGAGAAAATAATGACATAATCAAGATGTTGACGTTCTGCATAACTTCAAACAAAAGGTTAGGAAGGAAACTCCCATAAATGCTGAGAAGGGAAATAATACTGGTTTTAAGAAACCTAATGTCCTGAAACATTGTTTTGATAGAAAGATTTTATAAATTCTAACTGAAAGTAACACTGGCAGCTTGATTAATGAATACTGAATGTTTCCTTATAAGGAAACGGCTAATATTGGAATAATCATTTTATGTAATTTATTTTTCAAAGCAAAAATAAAAAAAAAATAAATGCATAACTATTGTTGCAAATTTGCCACATTTATGGGTGATATACAATATTGGTGTTAAATGTACATTATTTGGACTATTGTTCAGGTGATTGGAATGTCGAACTTAACACTTTATTACGATCACTGGTGTAGACTGTTCTAGTTCCACGTGTATGTTTGATAGATGTCAGTTATCTCCTGTTAATTTTTCTCTGAAAGTTCTCCACTAGCCTCAACCGGGTATTGAACTCACACTCTTTGGCTGCTGTCACTAGATCAAACCAACACCTTTATCCACTATGCCATGTGTCCTTGAACACATCTGGGTATGAATTTCTGGGTATTATAAACTAATGTCCTCAGCAACAATTTTACCAGTGTTCATATTGCAATTTTTTTTTCTGTTATCATTTCATGTTTTTTACCAGAGCTCATATTGCAACTTTTGTTGTTATTATCGCTTTTCTCTGGCACTCCTTATTACTGGTTCCCATATTGTATTCATTTCTATGTTTGGTCGGCTCAGGAGATTTTTGTGGCGTAGCATATGTGCTGATTCCTTAAGATTACCAATTTTCCAATGGTGTTCCTTGTTTATGATCTCAACCTGATCCCTCAGAGGGCGGTGGTCACCCTCCTCTCTCCATATGTGACATAAGTTTCGACATTCCAACCACCTGAAGAAGGCCGAAGCGTACAACGGCCGAAACGTTTAATAAATATGGCGACAAAGATGAGGACAATAGTCCGAATAATGTAAATAATGTACATAATACCTCATCTCAGAAATATAGACAGATACTGAAAGGCCGAAGCGTTGTAATAAATATGGCAACAAAGATGAGGACAATAGTCCGAATAATGTAAATAATGTACATAATACCTCATCTCAGAAATATAGACAGATACTGGTGTTAAATGATTTGTTAGATACAGCCACTGTAAACATATAAATTAACACGAAATATCATATATACAAACCGTAAAAGAATAATAATAATACATGACCAGAAGATCAGTTGAAGCAAAAGAAAACTGAATTTAAAATAGTTAAGATCTAATTTCTGTTCAGTTGAACAGTTGATATAAAAAGCAAACTTCTACCAGCTGAACGTGAAAGACTTTTGTTTTGTTAATGCCTTTGTTCTTGTGAAATAAAATTGTTTTTTTATGGCAACCTTCTAAACGTTGCTTAGATGTGGTACTAAGCTGAACGTATAGGGCACCCAGTGCGGGTCGAATACATTACTCATTTATAACTGAACTAGCGAGACAAGCTTGCTATCCATTACACCATCTCAAAGAGCCCTAAGATTGTTTTTGGTGACGCTGTTTCATCGGCGAAACATGTCAAAGAAGAAATCTTCCGAATTGTCTTGTATATAAAGTCTATTTAAGCAGTAAGATCCAATTCAAACAGGTTTTATTAATATTTTGTATTAATGTATATACAATCGACAAGGTCCATTTGTTCAGCCTTTTATTGTATTTTGCCAATTTTTGAAATATTTGTTCATCTAGATAAAAAATGTAGAAAAACTGTCTAAAGTTTTTGTTCCTACCAGCGTCTTGGCCATTGTCAGTAATTAAAACTTGTCATTATCGTAGACAACTCTTTAGCTACATTGTGGCCTTTGTGGAAACTTTAGAATTCAAATTTAGATATAAATGTGTCGTATATGTGATATCAAGTGGAGGATGGTTTCATTGAGTTTGATAACATTAGAACACGGGTATATTAAATATTTTACACGTACTATAAATATTATCTGGACAATTTAAAATGTGGTGAAAAATATGATATTTAATTCTTTTTTTTTTAATAGCTTCGAGTATTTTAAGTTTTTTTTTTATTTAAGTTACTTTGTGAATTCGTGACCGGAGTGAAAAAAAACTCGGGTCCCCACGTTAAAAAATGACCTTGTGTCACAACCTGACTCAGTGGAGGGGGGGGGTCACGTAAATCTCTACTTTGTGAATTCGTTGTATGTGCGCCGGGTAGTCTAACAATCGTCGTAAGACGTGGATCTGACGAGCCATGTTCAAATTCTGTGTTAAATAGTAGTTTTTTGGCTCTCAGAATGTTGATGGTAACAAGTCTCTTTTTACTGGGCGGTAACACGTCTCTTTTTATTCCAAACGAAATGATTTTTTTAAAGGAAAGTCTCATGCATATAATTCGACCACGAAAACGATGGGATATGTGTAATGGATACATTTAGTTAAACATAAATATGAAATATATATTTACCCTAAAGATCAATAAATACATTCAATCAGAAATCCTCTAGGGTCATAGGTAATTGTAATGTCGATTGATAATACAAAGCAATCAATCATTTTCTCTTAAATATGAATATATTCTTAGGATCAATCGAGCCTCTTAATTTTGTATACAATAATAATCGACAATGGATCATCAATAATTAAAAAGTAAACGCTATATTGCTTATGCAACATGATCAAAGCAATAACCTATCAACTGACTACACTTAATCGATATTCTGATCATTGACATGTTTTGATCACTTAATATTAAACATTTCGAAACAGCAATATTTTATTACGAAAGTTGCATAAATAGCAAACCAGCGACACCATTGATTCTTTGATTGTCTTTTCTGCCTTTTACATGCAAAGCCTGCTTAAAATGCTTGATCTTTCCAAGAATCAGATTGAACCAAAATGGAATATTGCTGCCATACCTGCGATGGCAGTGCTAAATCCTCAGACTCCAGCCTTGATAGAATTCAAAATAGTTTAGTTTGTCTTTTGGGATACCAGCTTCGTTCACTACAGACTCAACATCGTAAGTTTCTTGCTAAGCTATCGATATTTCTATGGCTAATATTCAGAAGTGTTGCGTTCTTTACCTCCACCAGTTCCGACTTTACTGACTGGACACGCCATACCTTTTCATCCATGTTTCAAATTGATAAAGAAACTTATATTCAGAAAGATTTTTTCCTCTAAAAACTATCATTTCGTGAGTGAGAGTTCAGATACTTCCAAGTTAAGGGACAGTTTGTCATATTTCTTCCTTATCATCAAATTCTCCAATTCGTACCCCCTCTTTTCCCATTCATTATCATTACGGCTTTAAGCCTCTACCTGGAAGGGCTCTCTTCTATTGTGTGAAATTTAGAAAAAAAAAGTATATTAGAATTATACATGTATCGATTTCCGGTGCGAAGATATAATATTAATATATAACGGATGTAGATGATCGTTTTAGGGATATATATATATATATATATATATATATATATATATATATATATATATATATATATATATATGTTTCATTAAAAGATATAGACAAGTGTTGTCTATTTATTTTATGTAAATTCTTTTCATAACGCCTGATAAGCTTAATAACATTATCATTAAACGAAGAAAGACAATCACAATTGATCCATATTTTTTAATCCAATCTAAGCTTTCGGTTTACATAAGCCATTATCAAAGATGTCAATTACAGTACAATATATTAAGCAATATACGGACAAGACAGTGATGATAGTCTGTGATTGTTTACATGGATGATTTCCAATCAAAGATAAAAATGCATATAAGACGCTAGAAGCGAAAATCGCACCGCAGCTCATGACGTCAAAGATGACCACGCGAGATTGAATTCGAGAAGTATTAAGTATTGGAAGCCGTTGGTATAAACCAATGGCTTCTGTTACCAATTATAGACATTTAAGGATATTTGTAGAGATTCTATAGTTGATTTTGTTTAGGTTAGGTTTCAACTTTTTGATGTATATTGCTTCAAGGATTTACACACACACACACACACACACACACACACATATATATATATAATTATTTATTCGAAAATTGTAACATAAATATGTTAGGAAATCACTACAAAAACAGCCATTTTGTTTCAACACTTCTGGTGTCTTATCGAGTAATGATGTTGAATGTAGAACAAAGTGTTTTAAAGGGTTCAAATCAACCAAAAACTCCTCGCAAGGGGAAATGCTGTTAAATAAGCTGGAATGACCAATCAAAATACAAGTATATGAGAATTCAAAAAACTTGACAACGAGCTTTGGTTATAATAATTATCTAATGCTTTAATGTTAAGGTTAGACTAAAATAGAAGTCATTCATTCTAACTAATAAATATTAAATTATACCATAAAATTCAAAATTCAAAATTAGCGATTTTAAATTTTAAATTTAATCTATATTAAGTTTAAAATTATAAAATTATTTAAAGAAGAAACTGAGGAAAAATATATGTTTTTTCTATATATTTTGTTTTTATTGAAATTATGTTGGAATAAACGTTAAGATCTAATGCTGATGTAAAAACAGATATATTTGAAGTGAAGACATGGGCAATGAAGGATGAAATCTTGTAAAAAGAAAATACATACACAATCAGATTATAATACACAAACACGCAGACATATTTAGATATAAACACACACACACACACACAACAAAAAAAAAAGAAAAAAGAAAAAGGGCCCTCGGCGTGGTGTAATGGTTAGCAAGCTTGTCTAGTGAAAACAGTTACGACTGAGTAGTGAGTTCGATTCTCACTAGATGCCTCATACTTTCGGCCTTGTGCCACGTCTAAGCCTCGCTTAGAAAATCAATATAAATACACAAAAAAAAGCGACGAGACAGGAAATATGTTCAAAACCCTTGAAAAAAAAATATGTGTGTGTGTGTATAAAAATTTCAGATACATTATATCTGTAAAAGTACAATATGAATAAAGACAAAAAGAAAGTTCACGCGTTTCGTCTTCTCAGGGACTTCATCAGGGCAAATAAAAAGATTTTATTTTGTAACAAGTATTTCAGAATTGCGAGTCCGGATCCGGCCTGGAATGTTTTTAATTTGCTGACGAGGTCGGCCTAATTCTAAAATGGTATGATATGTTGTGCTAAGGCCTAATTCTAAAATGGTATGATATGTTGGGCTAAGGCCTAATTCTAAAATGGTATGATATGTTGGGCTAAGGGCCTATGGGAGTAAAGTTGAAAATATGTCACACACTGACACACTGACATTCGGATTTATTTATAGAGATAATATATACCTAAATTGTTCAGTATAATATCCTTTTGAAGTAAATGAAGGTCTTATTTGATGGCGCAATGTTTTAGTAATATGCTTGTGCCATAAAGCCTTAGTAAATTATAAATTTTACAAGGCTGTGCTATAAGGCTTTCACTGATTACCGGAATGAAATTGCAACGCTGCGATTTTCAACTTAAAGGTGATCTTTAAACCCGTTTCCTAAAAAAAAAAAAAAAAAAAAAAACGGTAACGATTTGAAAAATAATATTTTGCGTTATTATTGATTATGTAAAATCCCATCTGTCAAATTGGGTGAGATACTCTGCTTCCAAAATCGACCTGCCCTATTTTAGCAGCCATATTAAAAATGAAGATTCAATGAGAATGTGGAAATCGTAGATCAAATATTTCAAATTTCAGTCTCAACTCTTACATCAATCATGAAAATAAATGATTTATTAAGGCTATAATTGATAAGCCGCCCCCGGCCAACAATTTCTCTACTTTTCAAATGTATCAATTGTGTTTGTCTGATTGATGTAACATTTGATCTTGAAAGATTAAGTTAACTAAACAATTTATAAATACTTTTAGAACGAGCAAGTACTGTATGTCAAGCTTACCGAATTTCTACTAGTATCGAAGAAGTTATTTTATGTTGAGTAGAAACATTTATAGGAAAATACCGAATTTGTGTGTTTGATTAGTCACTTTCAAAGAAAAGTAAAAGTCATGAGATAGCCGCAAGATTGTCTATTGTCTGGAGGTTCGCATGCTGTACTGATGGAATTTATTATAGCGTCACATGATTAAAATGATCGCATGGTTCAAAGGCAGTTAAACCTGTACATGATGAGATCAAAACAAGGATCCTTTAAAAGTTCCAACCCGACATCAATTGACAATAGCAATGGATAATATTAGCCATTTGCTTATAAGGAAATATTCAACATTCA